TCTGACATTGAGTGTATTTTCAACAGTGTGCAGTTATTTCACTGTCTTATGTTTGGCGTCACATTTTTTTTTAATTTGAAAGCTCTGGTATCTTTTTTTTTTCTTAAACAAAGGAATTAAAGAAAAAAAACTAGAGGACTGGAAACCATAAAGTACAACAAATAGCTTTTTTTGTGGCTTCTCTTTCTGCGTTGTATGTTTAAAGTTATTTAAAAAATATTTTACAGCTATGGTTTTAATTTACTGTAGGTACCTTACTATTTTTAAGTTAAAATTTATTTGATTGGATACTAAACTAGAGGTTCAGTAATTCACTGGAAGTGACAGAAATGGAAACTAAACAGAACAATTTTTATATACAAATATACTAAACTGTCTCTGGTGCTTGCTTTTCCAGTGTGGGATCTACTTTCATATCACTGTAATTGATGACTAGACAAAAGTTTGGCTTTTTAGGACGGTTTGATAGTCCGTTTGTAATATCTGCAAAATACTGACTCAGGTGTTCGCCAATTGATTAAGAACATCTTTACCTGACTGATCAATAATGAAAGTCACATGATGGCCTGTTCAGGTTATGGGACAATGCCCACTGGGCTCAACCATAGATACGTTGACAGATTCAATTCTAACCCATAGCCATTTGCAAAGTTTACTGATGCTGAAAGAGCAATGTGTTTTTGCCTCATTGATTGCATCGTAAAGAAGTTATTAAGAGGACACTATTTGCCTTGGTTCATTCTGTGCATCCATGACTACATCATTTCTGTTATATTGGAAAATACACTTAAACTTGAAGGTCGTACTTTAGCACAACCTCCCTAAAATGCTCAGTTCTGTCAAAGTTGGCTTTTGTCAGAGTGCTGTATGGTGAACACACACTGGTTCTTGGCAGCTTGTCAGGTTTCCCACTTAAAACCAGCTGGCATTGATGGGGTATTTATTACATGTAATCCCTTTGTGATATGAGGAGAGAGTCACAGCAGGTATGAAAATGCATAGCATTGTCAGTGAGGAAGTCAGTAATCTCAAATCCATCTCTCTCATCTTTGTTTTTCCCACAAGCTGTAATCCCCTACCCTTTACAATTCTAACTTTATACACCTTCAAAGTTCTCATTGCATTTACTAATGGGTTAAAGTTGCAAACATAATTAGCCTCTGTTGTTGATGGCCTTGATTTAGATACTTGCCAGTAACCTTTCCAAACACAGCAGTGCTGCAAGTGCTCTTTAGGACATGACTTCATATTGCTATATTCTCCTTTATGGTGTTTTGTGTTACAGAGCTGCAGAGCTGCAGATGGCCTGTAGAGTGTAACTGGGCTCACAGGAGATGTGAACTAAAGCCACCAAAATGCTGAAGAGTTGCATTTGTTTGCATTCTGCATTGCAGTCTGTTTTTCACAAGTTTCAAACTTAACCTTGGCCTCCACTCTGGAGATTTGACTACCCGGAGGTTCTTTAGGCTATGTGTGAACACTAGATTTCTATCTTTTCTTTGGATTTTCATTTATGTTTGCATACTTATTTAAGTCGTTGACCTTTTCTTTGTTCTTCTGTTATGACCATTTACTCCAAACATAGTTGAAACCACAGCACACTAAATAATACAACTTCCATCTTCCCTTTCTGATAATCAACCACTGCTAGTTGACACCACTTGTGATTTCCTGCAGTAATATCAACTTGACTCTATTACCAAAGAATACTACAATTAAAAAAGACTTAACGTAAACCAGTGATCCACCATTGGGTTGACTTGTTTGTCAATAATTTAAGTTAAGAGACATTTATCTGAAAATCTTAAATACTACACAATCAATTCATCAGTAGCAATGGGAATAAGCCTTTGTGGCTGCTTTCGAGTTCTCATCTTAAGTAAGTTTTATGCAGCTGCTCATTTTTAGGATGTAGACATACATCCTAAAAATGTATGATGCTGATGCTGTAGTGTTAATTGGCCTACATTTCTGGGCTCATGAATCATTTAATAACATTGCACAGCTGCGTACATACAGTCTTAACATCCAAATTGATTTATATTGAAGAAGATTGTGTTTTGAAAATCGTATGATTGTCTGAGCAGCAGACATTTATGCACTCCAGTAAATCACATTGTTAACAGAGTGGCTGGATAAAAAACAGTGAATGCTCAAAGTTGTAACAGTTGATGCAAATTCTAGAGGATAACACAAATGCAACAATGGAGTCTGTGTTTTGGGGCGTGGCCCATCTTTCCAGCCTGACTTTGGGAACCAACAGCATGGTCGATCAAGGATTTTGTTGTTCTTGTTTATTTGCTTTGTCTCAAATTGCCTATAATGTCTGCCAATTCAGTGATCAGCCGAGTCTGTTCATCAAACAACAGACATTTGGTGTGAAAGCTTTGCCTGCTCTCTTGCCTTTCTGGATATTCTTCAGGACTATTGTGTTTTGTCACCAAGCCTTTTTAGTTTCCTTTGGCAAATAAATTAATGACAGTGACTTTGGTTATTTAGAGGCCTCATTTTATCTTCTTTCATTTAATTGGAAATAGCCTGGACCTTATCAGTCGAATCCAAGAATTGTGAGGACATTTTACAATCTGACCTCGTGCAAAAGATTTAGCAAATCAGATTCAGACATTATACCATATGCCTCATATTGGACTAATTTTTCCAAATTAAGCAGCTCATGCAGAAACGCTGATGGCTTTAAACTGCAATTTGGATGCAAATGATTCAAATGACTACAGTCCAGATGGGGTGTTTATATTTTAACAGATCACCTCATGTGGAATTAGAGCTGTTTACAGATACAGCTTTCAACTAACAGAAACCATTAAGTAAAGAAGTGCTCCATTTCCACTCTAAACAGTTTTCTGAGAGTGGAGATGAAGGTATAAGGCTGATTCATGTTGTAGTGGTAGAATCAAATGTAAGGCTGTTTCTGTCTGGGGTTGAGTGAAGTCAAATTAGTACACGCAAATTACTCATTTCATTAGCAATTTTGGTAAGTATGACTATTTTTCACCGCTACAGTACAACAGTTACTGCTCTCCATTTTTGAATGTTACTGGGGCGCAGTAGTGTATGAAAAAGTAATTTTCCACCAATTTCCCTCTCTTTGGAGTTTCTCTATTGCAGTGTTTCCCAACCTCTGTCCTTGAATGACAAAGACAAGCAAATAATGCTTGCATTAAGAAACAGCACATTTTTGATGTTTTTTTGATGTATGTGTTTTCAGCAAATCAATGAATTGTTGCAGCTTTAAAGACTCTGTATCATAACATTGTACATGGACAATATTCACGGTAAATTGTGAATAATTGTACCTTTTCTTTAGAATTACATTTGTTATATTAGTTGTTTTTAAAGTTGCTGATGGACTGTGACTCCTCAGTGCATTAATCATTGTTAGTCTGCTGCTAGGACTTGGGAATGGATTTTTTTATTTCTATTTTTTTAAGTCTATTGCTCACCTGCAAAGGCTGGCCAAGGATTAGTTGAGCTTTGTGCTCATGCAAACACACCGCCTTACTCCTGGTGATGTATGCAATTTGAAGATAGAGTAATCTCCTGCAAGTAAAAGCTTTTTTGTATTAGTGCAAGGCAGCACGGGACTTTTGGATAAAAAAGGAATTTGTTTTCAATTCATTGTAGGAAACATTTTAGTTAGTGTTTGTTAAACTTCTTTCAATAACTTTTAAAACGCAAACAAGTCTTAACGGAGTTATCAGAGGTGGTTTTGGTGAGCATACTTTTGCCTTTTCTTGTTTAAAAATGCTTTCTGTTTCCCTTAAAAGCTACAGAAGATAAAAGGAAAAGTGGTGCTTTGATAATATGCAGCAATTAGCAATTTGCTGTTGGGTGATCTTTCTTTTTTCCCCTTGACATGATAAAAGCTCCTACGCCTTCACCTCGTTGTCTTATTTGAATTGAACTCAACCAATTTGCACATTAGAGAAATGCGCAGTCATGTTGTTTTGTAGTGCTGAGTGGTACCCAAATCTCATGTGTTGCCTCCTTACTCACATCAATGCAGCTTCAAAGAATAATTACCATATTAAGACCTTCAAGTAAACTAATTAAATAAAACTTACAGGCAACATTATTGTTTGTCTGGAGGATGTAATTTAAGCAGAGCAATGCATCCCATTGCCTGGTTGAGTCTGCTGTTTTAATCAATTAACGGTTAAGTCATTCATTAATTTCCCTTGGGTTTAAAAAGAGAATTCATCCATCCATCCATCCATCCATCCATCAAATCAAGGTATACTTTAATCCAGCCATCCATCAATCCTTTTTAATGCAGCAATAACCACACACCCATTATGCTTGATACTGAACAGGTAAATGAGCTTGGGAAACCAACATCATTGTATTCACTTCAAACATGCCTAATTTTGCTGTCAAATTAGCCATTATAACCTGTGGGCTGATGGAGGTTGACTCACTTTTGGGACCAGCCTCCAGTGACCAGTTCGAGAAACTGAAATGTTTTGGCACTTTTCGGCCCAGAAGTTTCCTCTTTGGACAGTGGCACCTATAGCATTGTGAAAAGTAGAAAGCTTATTTTGCGTTCTTTTTTTGTTACTTTTTTTGTTACTTAGTCATAATTATTAATTGTGTACATAAAGACTTCGATTTGAAACCGAGATTTTAAACGTTTTTTAGGATTCCTTACTGTTCCAATTTCTATTTCACAGAATATTCTTTACAATCTTTTGATATGGGACTGTCTGGCTTTTCACTTCACTTGGTTTGGTTGGGAGTATACCTTAATAAACATATCATAACCAGATTTATTTATTGTAAAATGACAACAAATGTTATTTCAATGCATTGCTCCCCATTTAAATATGTCTAAGTTTAAAAAAAGCGGCCAGTTATCAGTCAGTAGATTAGCTCACCAGTGGAAGTGCTTTCTTGTTGTTGATAAAGAGTCTCTCTAGCATAATTACCATAATAAATACTTATTTTATTTCAACTTCATAATGTATAATCCTCTTCTCCTGCAGGTACATGATGTTAATCAACGGTAAAAACGAAGTGTTCATGGTCGACAGGGACAACACGATCTTCCACATAGCAAACCTTGAGTTTCCTTTCCGGAAGGATCCACGATCCCACTTATCAAATACTCTCCTGGATGGGGTGAGTCATTGTTCCTCCTTATGTCATTCTTTTGGATTGTTAAGCTTGAAACCAATGCTAGCTTTCCCTGTTCTCCCCCCCCCCCCCCCCGAAATACCCAGAAGGGGACCTGTTTTTCTCTTGCTTGTAATTTTAACTCCCCTCCACTCCAACCTGGTACATTTCCCGTCCTGCTCATGCAGCTCAATATAACAGATAATTGACACAAGTTGCCAAACCTTAGGTAGAAAAAAACCCACCAGCATGCTTCAGTTTAACGGCAGAACCTGTCAAAAATGGCTGACAGGAAAATCATCATCCAAGTCCTTGAGAAACCACTAATGAAATGTTCTACAGTTTTTCTGTCACTGTTACTGCCTCTACTTTCTGCACCACAACATGTTGGAACGCTCAGCAGTGGCCTCCTCTCAGGTGGTGTGTGACTTATCCTGGCCCTTTGATAATGGGCCCAGACTTTTATTGGCATGTTTGTTATGTTTAGGTCACACAGGTCCCAGCTTTCCCCCAGTAACAGGTGCACATGCTTGAGTCATTAACACACTCCCTGACAGAAAACACAAGCAAGGAAATTACTGTGTGGTCAGCTGAGAGCTGATTATAAGTATCTGGCACTCTTTGTGCTTGGTTGTCTATTAATGGTGATGAAAGATAAGTTGCGTGATTGTTTTTCGTTAAGTTCCTGGCTTTGTTTTCGAGTTAAGAAGCTTGATGTAAAATAGGTTTCTCCGTCCTCTTAGCGTAGCAGTTGCTGATTGATATGGTGAATTCATTTTCCTCACCCAGACGGGACATCTAATTGCATCTTATTTATGGTTCCTTTGAATGAGTGGTTCGGAAGTGTGTTTAGATTGCTACAAGGTTTGTTTTGTCGTGGGTATACTCATCTGTTGATGCTTCTGGCTCTCAGTTCAGAGAGGCTGTTTACAGTGAGGAGCCCTCCTCTTGAAGCCCAGCTGCGTTGTCTGATATGTTTCATCTTCAGGCCCTAGGCTCTGCTCTTTGTCTTTATGTGCTGTTTTCCACTCCAGTTTTTAATGAGCTTTACATCCACTCAAGCTCCAAAATTGGATGAATGCAGAATGTAGATTGCATTCCTGGTGGTTTCCATTGGTCACGTAAATGTATTCATCTTTTACTCACTGTGCAACGGTTCAATGGCCCGCATGCATAATGATGGCAGCCTCCTGGAATTACATCATTTCTTTTTTCTGACCCTCTTAAAGTGCTGTACATGCCTCCCTTTGACTCCTGTGTTCTCTTTGCAGTCTGGCATCAGTAAGTGAATGTGTTTAGCATCTCAGACAGCCCCCCCACCCACCCCCACCCCCACCCCCACCCCCCTCATTACACAAAATAGAAGAAACTAAATTGATTGAATTAAGATAAATTTGGTTGAATAGGAACTATACACGCCTTACATGTATTTTTGTCTAGAGACTTTGAAAAGTCAAAATTGTAAGTATGTTTAATTCATCTTTAAAATATATATAGCATGTATACGCTGTTGATAAATGAAGTATGCCTTTGTGATTAAAAAAAAAAGAAAAGAACCCTGTGAGAAAAACTTAGCTCAGCAGATTACAGACATTCAGCACAGATGGAGCAGCAGAGGCTTAAAATGTAATGTCCATGTTGGCCCAGCAGAGGGAAAAAAAAAACTGTCTGCGGCTGTAGTGTGAAAATGTATTGCAGTTAAAAAGGTGTTTTAATCAGTTGTGCATGGCATCATGGCAACTACATCTCATTATCTACAATAAGCAGATCTGGATTGACCAGTAGTTCAATGAGTCCCTGAAATTGAAATAATGCATATTTCTTTATCTTAAACAGCATCCATGTGAATTGCTTATCTCTTGCATAATATTTCTGTTGTCCTACCCTGACACTTACATTTTGTTCACTTGGTATATTAGCAGATTCTTGAAGTTGCTCCAATCTGCTCCTAATATATTTTATAAAAGGAAAGGGATTTTCTTTAACATATATATTACGTAAAGCATCAGTGTTAGTACCCTACATTCACTTCTCTTACTTCAGCTGTGATAACGTTTGCTTGCTCATCACTCACGTCACTGCGTCACACACGGTTGTGTAATAGTTCTTGGATAACTAATCATGTGTCTGTCTGGTGTCCAGCACCACCGCTGCACCTTTCTCCCAACTTCAGAGTCTTGCATAATGGATGTGCTGTGCTATTTCTGCTTCCTGTCCTTCATCCTGAGACACCACCACACATACACACCTACTTCTCCAGTTCCTCCCTATCCTTTCCCTCTTTGCCACAGGCATCCCTGCCTGAACATGTGCCCCCTTGAGAATACTCAACCCCTAGTGTCCCATGCTTAGTTTCCATCTTGTGCTGTGAAGGAGCAGGGATGTGACAATATCATACATTTTAAAATACTGGCTTCACATACAATTTAATTATTTTTTATTGTGACTGATTTTCTAATGAGATTGAAGTCAAATCATGAATAAATAGTATGATTTTTTTTTTTAAAGATTAAATTCAGTTCTCTGAATATAAAATTCAAAATATTGTCATTTGTATTAGTTAATATAAGTCATAATATTTAATTTTGAGGTTGTTATTCATAAAACAGTGCAAATGTATTCTATATAAATGAGGCCTTCCATTTCTAAATATATTTTGTGCATTCTTTCTACACAATCATGTATCTTTACTTTTACACTTGATGTCTTTCCATCTGTAACCCTGACTCTGGTCTTTTTCTCTGCAGGAATGATCATCGACAAAGTGAACGGTCATCCCGTCCCCCGCTATTTGATATACGACATCATCAAATTCAACGTGAGTAGCCCAAGCTATTTAAGAATGTGTTGCCTCTCCTCTGACCTATTGCTCCTGAGATCTGCCAGACCCAAATGTCAGACAGAATAAATAAGCATCCCTTTGGACGCATTTCATTAACACTGTCATCTCTGAGCAGCTCCTCCTGCCCTCTCTCTCTCTCTCTCTCTCTCTCTCTCTCTCTTTTTTTATCAGAGCAAGGTGTGTTCTGCACTCAGGGAAAAGCATAGATGTGGAATTTTCTTACCTTGAAAGCCAAAAAAAATCAAATCCAGCATGGGTTTCTCTGAGGCTTTACTGTAGCAGGCAGCAGAGTGGTGCTCATCCAGCCTCTGCACAGAGATGACAGGGCTCGTCTCTCTGCTTGATTGACCCCACACCCTGTCAAACACCGGGCTTTACTTAAGTCTGACCTTAAACACAACAACACTACGGCTGAACTGTTTCTGACCCATTCTAAATCAAGTTTTTGTACTTTTACCCCTGAAAGTTTATTACAGTAATATATGACGTTAAGATAAACTGCAAGTTTTGGGCATTTTATGATGCACACAGGACACTATTTCAATTGATAAAAACGGTAAGTCCTTGCTGGTGTAACCTTTTTAAAAAGTAACCGTGCTGACTGTTGATTTTAAGCCCAATGTGTCTGTGGTTGTCATAGTTACAACAGATATTGAAGATGGGAGGTTCATTAAAGACATATCTAATAAGTATTTTCGACATTATAATTTACGAAAAAAAGACTAAACAATAGGGCATTTGTTGGGACATTTTCAGACGGAATTGGGCAAAAGTTGCCAGTTACATGGTCACTCTTCAAACCGTAACACCGGAACTTCACTTTAGGTGATGTTTACTTATATTTGGTGGAGAATCCTTCGCCTTACAGTATCTATATGATCAAAGTCTCCAATATTACCAACAGCTTTATGTATTTTCAATGTGACTGGGTCAGTAATGCCTGTTAGGGAAGTGAAAGACAAGAAATAATGTTCAGTAATTGCCTGAGTGTGTCCCTGCTTGTGAAAGTAACCTTTAGGTATGTGTAAAAGTGTGATCCTCCTGTTGGGTTGATCTGAATTGACCATTTTTTCTTAAGAGCCTGAGGAAAACATTACAAGGCTGTTAAATGCTAACACTCTTTCAAATTAATTCATACTTTCAACTCTGGTCCGCGCGCCGCTAATAGCAAGCGGGCCAGGCAGGAGACAAATGAGCCTACAGTTTGCCCTGAGCGAGCCTCTCCTGTCTTCCTCATAAAAATTTGATGAATACCTCAGGCTGGAGGAAGAGAGGCAGGGTTACTTCAGCCATTTTATGTTCGTCTGTCGCCTCCTTTCCTGCATTGATCACAGGATCACCGCCAGCAAGCTGCTCAATACAGACTCCAGCAGTACGGAACATCTTTGAAAGACGGCGATGAAGGTAGCAGCTCCACATGACTCCCACCCTGAGCCATCAGTAAAGAGCTGCTGTATTGATCCTCTCCAGCCATTATAAGCCTTCTCCATTATCCGCGGGCTGCTGCACCTTAGCACAGAGGCTCCATCCTGAGACTGAGGGTGGAAATGCAGCAGGAGGGAGATCACACCACCCGCTAGGCCCATGGTCTAACGTGCCACCCTACTTGTTTTGGAAAGTCAGGTGAAGCACAGCACTGGGATTCCTTCGATTTTGAGCTCGATGTGAAGAGTGTGTTCTTTCAGTGTTGGATTTAGCTATGAGAGGGGGGGACGGTTTTTGATGCTTTTGGAGGATCCATATAGCAACAGTTTTATTAATGTTAGTGCAGTCTGTATTCTGAGTCGTCCAACAGAGTGTTATTCTGTTCTAAGTGCTGATTTGTACAGCACGAAACTGATCGACCCTGACGACCACCCCGACACATGGAGGGGATTTTTTTTTTTTTGCTGTCACTGTGAAGCACAGAAAGCCTTTTTTTTTTTTTTTGTCTTCCTAGAAAGTTGCTGTTGCTTGTCAGTGTCTGTCAGCTCCCCCACTGTGGGGGAACTAACACGCTGGGATGGAGGCACGACAGCATTTACATATATGTCCTTAATTTTCAAGTGGATAAAAACTGTGGAGGTTCATGTGTAAATTTAGCTACACTTTGATTGAGCTTGTTATCTTTTATCTTGACTAAAATAATCACTCTTCAGGTGCAGAATTAGACAAGATAATTAACTGAATCAGATTAAAAGTTCAGGAGAAAAGAAACCTTTAGAAACCTTTTTGTGTCAGCATAGGGACTGCTTCACTGACATAAGCTCCATTTACTTCTGCTCGAGGAGTTTGTTTACAGGGACAGTCTGTAGCTCTCAGAGTTTTTTGACCTGTGAATAGTCCCAGGGCTGCATCATCCGTTAAGAACCAACTGCAGCATCAATCTGCTGACGCATCCGGTCCTCCCCTGCGGTCTCATTTCACCTGCAGGCTGCTGTCACATAGTATATCTCTTAAATTTAAAATAAGATATACATTATTGTCCCGGAGGAAAATTTTGCTTTGGGCAAAAGTGCTACATACAGCTGCATTCACTTCATATTCCGAATATATCAAATATAAAAAAAGCTTGTTCCTGCAATATATTAATATATATTCTATATATATTATTACATAATTAGTGAGATGACTGTAACTCACAGTGGAAAGAGACAGCTAGGAATCAGTCAACAAGGATTACCGGTAGTTATAGTGCTACGGCTTTATTGGTCTCTTATTATCAATAGCCATCAGGGGCTAACAAAGACTTTACGATTAACCTCAGTCTCTCTAATTTGCTAATGAATCCCAACACATTCACTCTGTCTGCTGGGACTTTAATCTGCGTGTTTCCTGTGCTCATAAGGTAATTCTGCACCTGCATTTCCACATTCAACATCTGCTTGAACATGCGAGCATTGATGGTGAATTTTCTCGGGTTAATTGCACAATTATGTTGCAGCAGAGGCAGCAATGCTTCCAACTCAAAACCAAAACAGCCTGAAAATGCACGAAAGACACAATCAGTGTTGGGAGCTCTTTTTTTTTTTTTTTGATTGAACACTAATACACTGATTTATGCTTAACCCTTACCAGTGGTTACGGGTGATTCGTTCAAATAGAGGTCTTACCTTTTCATGTTGTTTGAGGGTATAAAAGAGGTAGGTAAAATACATCTAGATTCATGAACTTATATTTGCTATAACAGCTTTAACCCTGTTAAAACATAGTGATTCAACAGGTCTGTGCTATACGTAGGATGCATTTTTGATGTTTTTTTTAACTCTATTTTAAGAGACTAGTCTACTGCGTCAAAGTGACTCATAAAGGAGCAGGAACAGTGGGCTTCAGGGGCTCTTACAGTGTAACTTCAGAGATTATTGTCTTAAGTTTTGACTATGGATAGATAGATAGATGTACTTTATTGATCCCAAACTGGGAAATTTTGTTAAAAAAAAAAACCCCAATCAACATTTGAAGGAAAAAAACTAATTTCTTCTAGCTACAGACCAGTGAAATGACTCCCCTACCCCCAAACATAAGAAATAAGGTGAAATGGTGGAAACAAATTGAGTATTCCTGTGGAGATAGATACGCTTCGAACCTGCATCAGTTACTTTGGATTTTTAACTTAAAATTAAGTAATTCAAGCAAAAACCTTCAATTTCTTAAGTAATATTGAATAATTGTGTGGTTAAAAGCCGCAGTTCTGTCAGAAATATCCCCAAGGAAGATGACACACTAAGCTTCTGGTCCCATTACTGATTAAGTCCCCTGTGTATAGTTTGACTTATGCTAAATTATCCCTGACAGAAACAGTTTGGAGTTATGTTTAAGGCTGTGTCAGTGTTTTATAAGATGTTTTGGTTTTTGCTGAACTCCTGAGTTCATTCCTCAGCCTCATGCACTTCACGCTGAAGATGGATTTATATCAGATGCCGCAGCTCTCTGCTGTTTAACATTTCATGTGTTTATATATAGATTCTATATATGCACTTAGTTTAATTCCAACCTATAGGGAGTTATGTAGTACACTGAATTGCACTTGGCTGGACTACGATCTTTCACTCTGTTCACTTATAATAAATCAGTGAAGATTCAGGGGAGCCAAACTTGACTGAAAAACAATGCTGTGGGAGTGAACTAGGTTACAGATTCCAGTGATATGTTGAAAGTTTTTGCCTTTACATTAATGCTTGGTGAAAATTCCAGATTAAGTCAGGATGAATAATGTATCTGTTGGCGTTCAGACCATAAACTGTAAATATTAGTGGACGAAGCCTGAGTGACGTCACCCATCTGCTACTGCATGGGGATTTGGAGTCCCATCGATGGCTGTTGCCATGCTAGAAATGCGGTCTCACCCTTACTTTCAGCCATCCTATCAATAGGCGAAGAGCTGGAGTGGGTTTTAAGCATCTTGACAAACCATTAGATTGCACCCAACTCTCAATCAGTTCAGCTACATGCCTTATTGTGAATAACGCTTATCCTTCATCAAATCAAAATGGATGAGCAATAGACAATACAGACATAAGCTACTCAGAACAATTTCTTTATTTGTACCAGACTGTTCTGCTGTAAAAACAGTATTTTTTTGGATGGGTTTGTATATAACTTCCGGGGCTCCTGGAGCCAGCCTCAAGCAGACACTCAAACTGCAGCATTTTGCACTTCCGCATTAACTTCATTTTTCAACACCAGAGCTTGCGGCTTGGTTCAGACACACAGACCGTACTGTAAACTTCGGAACATGTCAGGAGTTTTGTGCTTGTGTGAAAATAATTAAGTATTAACAAGGTACTTTAAGATGACCATTGGTTATAAAACACAACAAAATATACTTTAAAATACTATTAAGAAACAACGTAATGCATGGGACCAATATAGCATGCTACCCTTTAGTAATTTGTTAAATTTACTGACCTTCTTAAAACTGATATCATGGAATGCTTAAGGACACCTCTACAATTCATTGTTAATATGCTATGAGATGTATTAAGAGTAAACCATTGCTGTTGCTTGTCAAACATGACTCTGGCCTTGTCCAAATCCAGACTGATGCAAATTAGTCACAATAAAATAGCATGAGCAGATAAATCCCAGATGCAGTTAAACTCTTTTGAACCACAGCAAAACAACATTTCATAGATATAATTGATTTTGATATCCATCAATGTTGGACAAATAAGATCTTTATCTGCTGTGTGTCACTATTGATCAGGCATTGACAGCACATGCCTCAAATCATCCGCACTCAGATCTTGTTCTGTCCTGGTGACACAGATGGTGCAAAATGTGTAGGACATGTTACCAGCTGTTGCTCAAGAAGACTGTTTTTGCTACATTTTCAAATGTGGACATTTTTTTAATTTAGTAATGTAAAATTGTGTTATATCTTATTATAAAAACACAATCTTTATCTTTCACACCATCCTGGGAACAGTAATCACTTTATTTTCACACGTTGTAGTATCACTTCACACAGTCGTGTTGTGTGTGGTTATATATATTAGAGAAGATATTGTTCTGAGATACATGTTTGTTGCGTAAGGCTTGGCATTGTACTTGCTTACATAAGACAGCCAACTTAAATAAGAGTTGCTCTGATCTTCTTTTTCTGTTTTTGCTGAGTATACTCATGAGTCAGTGGACAGTACAACTAAATGTTTGCATCTAATCTTAACTAATTATTGCTCATCCATCTCTTCATCCACTCTCAGAAAGCCACTCTCAGAAATATTTCCTCCACCCAATAATTCCATAGCAGGCTCTTGAGAGGAAAGTGGCCTTTGCCGAACAGTCAGATAACAGAATATAAATGCAGCTCAGTCACACCTTCCTGCTCAGTGCATGTCAATATTGATCAAAAGATATTGATCCATTTCCACCACTGAGCATGAATATTAAAGGGGTGAACATTTCTCTATGTATTATATCTATATTTTAGGAACTTAAACATGTTTTTGGCTGTGTAACAATAATATACAATACACATAGAGGATTCCTATAAAATAGTCTCTAAATGTTGAAATATGCATGAAAATGGCTTTTCTGATATCTCATCAATTATTCAACAGACACCTTTAGTTTAGAAATGTTAATTAACAGGGAAATTACTGCAACCATTTTCAGGAAGTAATAATTTTTTAACCAAAAGCCATAGTACTTCGGTGTTCCTGCATGTCTGATGTGATGATATAGGGGCTGTCTCTGTATTACCTTATTTCAGAAACAGAATATCTTTAATACTTGTATGGTTGGTCTAAAAAAGACATCTGAAGATATAACATTGTTCCATGAGAATGTATAACTGTTTTTATTTACTACTTTCTGATGCACTCAACAAAACAATCACAAAACAAAGAGTTCAATCAAAATAGTATGAAAATAATAATTTAAGGATTATATGTTTTCTTGATGTGTCCAAAGCCTTTGATAGGATAAATCATGTTTAATTATTTATGAAATTACATAACAGAGGGGTCCCCCCTTATTTGCTAAGAGTATTGTATTGCTGGCATTTGCATCAATCCATATGCGCCCGATGGGGCAGGAGTATATCGGCACCCTTTTCAGTGACCAATGGGGTCCGACAAGGTGGAATTCTGTCACCACTTCTTTTTAATCTATACATGGACGATCTCTCTGAACTGCTTAAAGCTTGTAAGACTGGATGCATGGTGGGAGATAGAATTGTTAACCATTTGATGTATGCTGATGATTTAGTAATCTTGTCACCTTATAGTGCTGGCCTACAGCAACTTCTAAGAATCTGCTCGAGTTATGGGATGCAGTGGGAAGCTACCAAGATGGACGAGTGCAAGTCAGATATTTGTTTTTAATAATTTGACCACATTTCATGCTCTGCTGAGAAATGTTATGTTCAAATTTATGTGTCAATTAAATAACTCAGAAAATGTCATTATGTCACTGACTCAGCCCAGACTTAGTGACACAGGTATTCCTCGTGTTTCTGGAAATACTAGTGTGAATGTCTCTTTGTATTTTAATCACATGTAGTGATGATATCCCTTTGTTAATGTCCTGTATTTATATATCTGTGCTTTTTTATAACGATATCGACCTATGGGTCTGAAATTAAGAAAGTAAAGTAATGGGTTATAGCCATAATTGTTAAAGTTAACACATGCAGGAAGTATAACTTTTACGGACAATAAATTGATTATTTACTGCAGTGAGAGTCCTTGATGTTATGTATTTGTTACCTGACACAAAAGCAAACAAATTGTAAAAGCTTGATTAAGTCTAACACAAATTAGAAAAAAACAAGGGCCTAAAGATTGATCCCTGTGGAACTCCAAAAAGAAAAAATAATGGTTCCATAGTATCCCTTCATAAGCAAAAAAATGTTTTCATCTTTCCATAAGATGTTACATTTTATTTGAAAAAAAAAAGTTTATCAGTGTCATTTTTCACATGTTGTAACAAGAGGACTTTAACTACTCAACAGTCAATTTTGCAAACAACACAAGAATGGGAAAGGGTCTGAAGGTTAGAGATGCTCTATTATACAAAGGGGTATCACTAAATGATTTTTTTGACCATATTTACGTTTTTTTGCTCTTGATAACCATGTGACTTGGACAACATTTGTCATTCATTCATATTTTTTTATCTCTTCACAAAACAAAAACTCCTGCTTAGTTTCTGAGTTTTGGCTTTATTTTTCCACTGTCAAAATTGAGAAATTTTCATTGTTAGATAGTTTTTAAGCATTTAGCCCATGTCCATCTGGCAGCTTTTCAGAACTCACTTATCACTTTGTCCCTCTTCAATTGATTTCTTTTTCTGTGCTGTTAAAAGTGAGTCATTATTTTTAATCACTTTGTCAATTGAGCAACAGAGATAAGTGGCTTGCCTGGCCGTGCTGTAGCAGGGCGGTCACAACTGCCTCCACTTTACACTTTGAAGTGGTCATGGTTGTTAAAGTAGTATCCTGTTACTTGGCTTCCACACACGCTTCTTTACTCATTCTTTACTCAGTCATCAAGAGCAGGGACTCTATTTTTTTTACCTGATTCATGGCACCTTTGCTCCTATACCGACCTTGTCTTGTCTCTTTGACAGACTGTGATCCAGTCAGGATTGTGTTCTATCTGTCAGCAACAACTCTGTGCGGCTGTCAATTCCCAGGAGGGATGCTGTTGTCATAGTGACAAAGAAAAAATGATTGCACACTGTACTGTGTACCTTGTGTGTTAACATACCCATATGTTCTTATGTCAAGGTCTTATTTTGCAGGGTTTCTTGTATGTTCCTCCCTGCATACTGCTCACCTCTAGAGCAGCTATAAATACATAAGAGCTCTATGGAAAGATCACAGCGGATGCTATTGTGTGTATTAAAGTTTTATAGTGTTAGTCAAAAAATATCTAAATTTTTGTTTCCTTTATTATAGTTGAGTATCTGCATGACTCAGGGTTGACAAAATTGTAGATACTACATTAGAATTATACAAACTGTTATTTTAATAATATGTAGAATCAAAGTTTTAAAACATACGGAACTATAGTCATATTTTTAACCAAAAGCCGCTATGAGTTAAAGAGATGCACTGTCAAAAATGTCCCTTTGAGCATGTGCAGGAGTTTGTCTGCACTTTTTAGTAATCACAGCTCGACTAAAATGTTCACCTATCTTGTTGAAACGTATGTGTAATAACATAATTTTATAAGTGATGTGAAAAAAAGGCAATTATATAAGTTTTAAAAGCTGGAACCTGATGGGTCGGGAAGAAAGATATCTGCCACTTTCTATTGGCTGTTGATCTACTAATTGATTACGCTAGTCCTGTGGCTCATCATCTGGTGCTAAAATATCAAGTTCTAAAAAATGATTCCAACACAAAACTTAACTTAAAACCAAAAAAGATATTTTTCCATCTCACAACAGGCCTCTGCTTCCTAGTAATGTTGCACAACAGTGATGACATGGATGCTATTTTTTTATATAAATATCTGTAAACGTTGCGTTAAATCTTAGGTTACATTAACTGATAAACATGTCTTTTTTTGTGTGTGTGTTTCAGGGTCAACCGGTTGGTCAGTGTGACTTTAATATCAGACTGTTATGTATAGAAAAAGAGATAATTTCTCCCCGGATGGAAAAGATGAAGACGGGACAGATTGACAAAACCAAGGAGCCCTTCAGCGTCCGAAATAAACCATTCTTTGACATTCATGCGTCACGCAAGGTAAGCGAACAAAGATACCATTCATACTTTCCAGCCTATTACTTCATCCCATTTGTTTGGGTGACCTAGTGTCAAAAAAAATCTGCTTCTAGCACAATTGTGCAAATCAGGATGACCTAAAATTCTTAAATAGTGTTTGTACAAATGAAACTTGTGATTAGGTAATGCCCCAGTTACCTTCCTTGAAGTTGTTTTACAGGGCAACAGCTGCTCATGCGGTCTTTAAGGCAAAACTGCGAGGAGAAAGAGGAATTGAAGTAAATAATACATTAATGTCTTCTGAAATGCACAACAGGCTCCCTCTGGTCAGTCCTCTGAGTGGAAAGTCTGAGAGTGGCTGGTGTCGGGGCCTGAACCCACTGGGACAGATCAGTCTCAGCCTCACAACTTGGGCTGCGTTCACACTTCAAACCTTAATGGTCAACTCTGAAAAAATCACATCTGAGTCACATAGGAGGTAGAAATTCAGATTCAGGTCCCTTTTGGCTGCTGTGTGAACGTAGCCATAGTGTGAGGTGGAAGGAAAAAACAGAGCGTCCTCATGCTTTGACCTCATCCCAAGACGTTGTTCCGAAAATCCTGGTCTTCATTAAGGAGCCAGTCCTGTGGGTCAGGAGTGCACCAGATTTTAATTCTTTCAAAGATACTTGAAGGTTTTTCAATCAGTTCTCTAAAGCGCCTTCTAATTCCTGAACTCTTGACATTTTCTAGATAATGTCAGGACAATCAGGTCGTGATATTTTCAGGAACTTGCCTCTCACAGATGCACCTCACTGCAGGGTGTAATCTTTCCCTGGTTTGATTTGGGTGAGGGAATGGGCTAGGAACCTTGTGCAGAAGGAAGAATTACCCAGGAGGAGTGCTGGGTAATTGTGACTGTCTCTGCATTAACATCACTATAACATATATAAGGATGACAAGATCAACACAACAGTGGAAAATGATATTATGACGACTGAGAAAAGCAATACATATTATAAAGCAGCCAAAATTCTGCTCAGTGTGATTGACATCATCACCCCGGCCACTCGCTCAAGGTGGATTGATCCAGATTATGTCCTGTTGTGCTGAACCTGACTTCACATGGACATTTTATTGGGAGGCTCAAAGGAAAAAGTTGTCACAAAGTTGGAGGAACATATTTGGCCATTTGCATTCGCACAAGCAACCCTCCTGGACAATGTCAGGAAATGTTAAGGAGTGCAGTGCGTGTGTGAAGGAGAGTTGTAAAGCTAATGACCATGTCCTGAAAGATTCTGGGTGAATGTGCCCTGTGCTTGTAAGCTGAAGTGAGAGCTGTTTCAGAATTTTGCTCAAACTTGATGGACTTAAGTCTCTTTCAAATTTTAGCCGTCACACTTCATGCTCCTGAACTTTTTTGTTTTGTTTTTTTCATCGAACCTTTGGACAGTGCATTAACTCTCTCTTTGCTGATATTGTCCTTAGAAAATTGTTTTTAAAAAATCTCAGCGTGCTTTCTTTTAACAGTCAAACATATCCTTCACTGTGATCCTTGCTGTGGAAAATGTGAATAAGGCTGTGCTGTTAGTCACTTCCTCTAGTCACTCCTCTTAAACCAGCAGTTTGAGACATGCAAATTGACAGTATAAAAACAGCCAATCTTTATACTGACAGTCTTGGGGTTTTATTAAGCTTGTATGGAGTAATCAGTAATAATTTCATTCTATTTTATAACAAGAAAAAAACTCCCTGCTTGACCTTCATCTGACCTTCATATCGCCCCTTTTTAACCACAGGAACCAACCCAGAAAACCAGGAAGTTCTGAGTAACTCTGGTACTTCACTTCTGTTTTTCTAGGAGGGACCGGGGTCTAAATGCTGTCAAAGAAGCAAAACAGTGTTTCTTTAGAGGCATTATTGAACTGTGTTAAGTTTTGTGAAGCAGATGAAACCTCTGGTAGCCCAGAATCGATCTTGGTTCTGTTTGCTTCCTCGGGTGTCATTGATCGGTCAAACACGTGCCTTTAGCCTCATCCATGAAGCTCTGCTGCTGGTGTTAAGTTTCAAGCTATCAGCGTATCTGTCTGAAGTCAAATTTCAGTATTTGTAGGTTTATGGGAAATTATGTCAGTGGAGAATCAGAGCATTTCTCTGCTTAGATGATTTCGTAGATTTTGAGTATTTTCTGGCACTGCTTTGACGTCTTCTCCCTAATACCAAGAATAAGTGATGTTAATGCAGACACTTTTTCTTAAATACTTTGGCTCGGATTATCTTGTTTTGCATTTTTCTTTGTAGTTGTCACTTAATAAATAAAAAAATCACGCCTCAGGTTGGAGTTTTGTGCTGTTCCCAGGCCGAGGACAGCAAAGCTTTTATCCTCCAAACAGCTTTTAAGTCCCCCTCAAAGGTCTGCGCACTCGTGCCCTTAATATCACGTCTGTGGGAGGTCAGAGCAAGATTAAATTGATGTTTTTCTCAGGCAGAGATCAGTCGAAAATCTTGGCACTGCACACTCAGAGATGATCAAAGTAGAGGGTAGAGTTTTAGACTTTTCGTCGTGTGTTGTGGTCACCTTCTCCTCTTCAGGAACAAAATACCTGAGTGTTTCTATCCTGTTTTTAAATTCTTCACATGAGTAGTTTAGTTACCTCTGCTCTCAACCTGTCCTGTCTGCTCCTCTGAGGATCTCTATGAAGGATCACATCCATTCTTCGTTGATGAAGATACTCCAGAAATGAAGTCACCAGTTCCGTCTGGTTTCTGACTGCTCTATTGTGTTGTGCAGAAGCCATCTGCTCCCCATACAGTCCAATCTCTGTTATACGGGACATTCAAAGAGGGGAAACTGGATTCTGTCGCATTAATTCAAAGCTGCACAACCCTCCACTTCATTACATATCAACCCAAAATTCCTTTTTGGGGTATTTTCAGTCACAGGCTAGAGTTGTATGATGGCTTTTGTCTGGTGCTGCTAGGCTGCTGTTTTTCGTCTTCTGAGTTCATGCCGCCATTTCCCACCGCTCGGGAGCATTTATTCTCTTGGCTTTCTCCACTTGTCCAATTATCTAACAAAGACTCCTTATGTATTACAAGTGGTGGTACATTGGGACAACAAGATAATGTATTCAGGGAATTTCCCTTTTTATGTAGGCTGAACAGACTTTTTTCTGACAAAATCTCCTTTGAGTAAAAAATAAGTCTGATTGGATCAGCCCGTTATAACACAGCTGCTGGTGCCTGTTGGACAGTCAGCTTTATGCAACACGTTTAAGTTTGTATCTAGATGGCATATTACATGATTTATCTTAAGATTTTGTTCTTGACCGTTGTTTGCTGGATTTAAAAAATAATGTATCTTAATCTAACTCGATCAATCAGTTATTAAGATTAACTTTATACTTTAGATTAACTTTATTTTCATTCATAATGAATGTTATCTGAAGACACTTTACAAAAAGCCGGTATAAGACCATACCTATTGTTATGTTACAGTACCCAATGTCAATCCATCATGAGCAACATTTAGCAAAGTTACAGTGGCAAGACAAAAACTTCCTTTTAAAGAGGCAGACATCTTTGGCAAAACCAGACTCATGATGAACATCCGTCTGCCGAAAGATAGAGGGAGATAACTTAACTCTCTTAGAGAACACTCGTTATCTGCTAAATTTAAAAAAAACCTAAAAGAATAAAACTTATAAAGCAAAAATTGATTATTTGAATTTAATGTATGCATTTGCAATTTCCTGTAACAAGTGTACAAAACTCATCCAACTCTTAGACAAGTATTTTGTCTTGGAAATAAAAGTTCAGATATTTATAACAGTCTTTCCCATAGCCAGGAATGACTTCATAATTAAAGATGCCAAAAGTCTCACCCCTAGACATGAATAATAGCTTTTTACATAATATTCAGAGCTGATAAACTTAATGTGAGCTGGTTTAAGACAAGTTCAACTATGGTTGTCAAGATACCAGATTTTAAAACTTCAATACAACTCTTGAAAAAAAGATCTGTTTCAATACCAATGCAACAACAATTAAAAGTGCTAGGCACTCAATATTGTGTCGTTTTTTGTTTTCAAGACCTTTGCAGAGGTCGACCCTGTTGGTATGACATATTTAGTTCAGACAGTAATTCAATGTGACCTCTGATGTATCAAGTCACAATTAATTCAGGTTAATAATCACAAGACTAAGAGAAATAACAAAGTGTTAATTTGTTTAAGCCATATGTAATATCTTTCCTCATTTATTACATCTCTAAAAGAATCAGATCTATCTGGTATCTCATGTCAACCTCAGGCCATCAGCAGCCCCCCCCCACAGTCCAGATAGAGATGAACTCTGGAGAGAAAGACTTCAGGTGAATAAATTATATCCTACCAGAGAGGAGATCTTATCTTCAAAAAAAGAACCTTCACGCATTGAGATTGAGTTTGAACGGAGACCTGAAAAGTTGTTATCTGGATACTTTTGTGAGATTGCATTTTCTCAAACCTAATCAGGCCGAGACAGGTAAGATAAAGGCTCAGTGTATGTTCTGAATACAAAATGAGAAGGAATGACGCCTTGGGAATGTGGATTGAAATGTCAAATAGTTTAAGATTGTGTGCAATCACGGTCCCTGATGTGCGTCAAAGCATCAATTTTTTTTTGATGGGTTTTGCACTGAGAGAGTTTCATTTCCAAAGTCTATTTCCTTCAAAGTGATGAAACTTGTTTTGATGGCTGTCTATGCTGCCACTGTGAAAGATGAGGGAGTGATACAACAATATCGTGTATTTTTTTGTCTTGTTTTCTTATATTAGTTTAAAAACATCGATGAAAATCTGCCTGAATCATTCTGATTGGGTTGTGAAACTTTGATAATACTTCAGTGAGGTCCTTTTTTTCTGCAGTATGTGTACTGTTCTGAATGGAATGAAACTGTCTTGAGTTGTTTGTATTTCACATTGGTTTATTTATTTGTCCTGTTAATGAGGTATGTTTCTGTTCGGCTTCATTTATCAATTGATTGATTTTCAAATATATAT